CATGGATTAAACAAGTCAGAACATAACTGACTGTCATTCTAAATTATATCTCTGCAGATCTGAAATTAGCATGGCAGAAGCAGTTTGCAAGGCTCTGATTGTTTTGGTAATATTGCTCAAGTTTTTAATTTGGTGCATTAACTTCCCTTCAGATATATTATACTTTGTATAAAGTTTTCATTTCCAGAAACTTAGATTTCCCTGTCAAGGGGTCTCTCTGGGAGGTGAGTCCCAAGAACTATTTCAGACAGGAGCAGGGGAGATTCTGATTTGGGAAAGTCCAACAATTAGCCTTCTATTTCCTGCTTCTGGTTTTTTTCCCTGCGCTTAAACTCTTTTTTAGTTAGTTTGTTTTTTTAAATTTGAAAGATGTTAAACACACAGGAAAGTTGAACTAACATTGCAATGCCAACTATACACCGTGTACTGCCCTAGGTTTACTACCAACCTCTTGCTATTCCCACTCTTTTCTCTCTCCCAATGCACATGCTTCCCTCTTGCCAAACCATCCAGAAGTAGGCTGCAGACAGTGACCCTTTAGGCCCAAGTGTCTCCCAAAAACAAAGACCTTCTCCCATGCACCCACGTCATTACCACGTGTTAGTTTTACGTTGCTGCCTTAACCCATGACTACATGCGTCAGGTGACTTGGCCCTCCAAGCCAGTTCCAGACTCCCAGTTCTGGCGCCCTCAACTCTGTTCTGTGTCATGGGGTAACTGACCCTGCAGGCAGCATTCCCTGTGCCTTGGGGTAGTTGTCTCAGGGCCAATGATGGTGGGAGCTTTGGAGAGTGGGGCAGGAAGGGACGCCCTGAGTGTGCTTATTATGTGATCAGCTACAGCACAAACCAGCAAATCACCCACTTTGAAGCCATTTATGTTTCTTTCATAATTGCATTTAGTCTGCTAAAAGTACAAATTCTGTCTTCCTTTTTGCCTTCCAAAATTTTTTAAAGATTAAATAGAGGCAATTTGGGCCATCTTTGGCAAAATATTCTTAAATGAATTCTTATCAGATAGACCTCTTTAAAGAATATAATTGTGTGGTAAAATTAAGATAAACAGGTCTAACACTCTTGGCAACATTCTCTTAAATGAATTCTTGTCAGATCAAACTCTTTACAGGTTATAAATAATTGCGTGGCAAAAATTAAGCTTAACAGGTTTAGCACTCATCTTCAGTTTTCTAGGCTTCTACCTGAGCCTGCTGGTCCGCTGATCAGGAGGGTGACTCCTTGTATGGGGTCCAGTACCCAAAACACCCCCCTGCCTGCATCAGGTCATCTTTGAGCAATTACTGAATGCCTGTCTCTTCTAAGTCTCTATTACTTCACCTTCTGAAGATGATGTTTGTTCTGCATACATTTCATTCAGAAATATATGATGTCTTCATTATATAATGCATTCTCATAGTAAAGCAGAAGATGAAGCATAGGTACAATGTCAGGCCTAGAAAGGAGCCATGGTACTATCCAGGTACGAGGGAGTAGTTGTGCTGGCAGTGAGACACCTTGCAGGCAACAGTGGCTGCAAGCCAGGAGCTACAGGCCTGACCAGCCTTCAGGCCTGCCACCCACCGCCACCCACTTTGACTGAAGTCTCCCATATCTCCAGTTTTCCATGCTGGGATTCTTGACATGCTCATTTGGAAGTTTCATCATTTGTGGTGGGACTTTCCATTTTTCTCTTAATTAAAAAGTAAACATGTTTTTTGGAGAAAATGTGGAAAGTACAGAAAAGCACAAAGCATGATCCACTCACACAGCATTTTGGTCTGTAGATATTCAATATTTTATCAGTTAATATATTTAATTACTTTCTTACTCATTTCATAGAGTGTGTGTAGTTTTATAAGTTTATTTTACTCAACTGCATATTGAGTTGAGTAAGCCACACCAAACATTTTTCTATGGTATCAAGTATTTCTTACTTTATAATTTCTAATAACTTCATAGTTTTCCACAGTGTGACTATACCATAATTTAGTAAATCACAGGATTTAGAAAAGGTTTGTCAAGCAGCCAAAGCTGTCCCTTTAAGGTTATTCTAACACATAAAACCTTCCACCAAGCTCATTGACCCACACAAATTCTCGAAGGAATGATTTTGTGTGTGCGGAATGGTTATAGCTGTCTGTCACTCTGCATGTGGTTTCTGTGCTCTCCTCAGGCTGTTGGAGATGATTATGGATTTCTGTCAAATGAGACGTCTGTCATGTATCCAATATGAGGTGGGGTAAATTTTCCTCATTCTGTTGCTCTCTTGTCTGAGGGGGTGAAGCAGATCTCAGGGAACCCAGGGAAGTGGGCCATACAGCTTGCGAGAAGCATACCATGGACATGCCTGGGCCCGGGACCCCCAGGCCAGCAGATCAGATGTCTACATAAATACATTTGTCCTGATTGTCACATCCACCCAGGGCTACACAGCTGTGTATAAAAATGGCTCCCAGCCTAGTTTTCAAAGCTGTCAGCCTTTCCTGTTGCTTCTTAACTACCAGCTCAGAGGCATTTTTTGTGCTGTCAAAGACAGTGATAGGACTAGGATACATAAGGGCAGATTAAGAAAACTAAATATTTACAGCCTGACTGAGTGACAGCCCAAGGGGAAGTATAAATGTCTTCTGGGCCCAAATCATGGAGGAGACCTTGTTTTGCTTTTCCCAGTAACAGGATCGTAGGGATATCCAGATTCACAAAAAGTCTTCTGAGGATGACCTCACTTATGCTAATTGGAGAATGGAGTCAGTTAGAATTGTGTTTCGCAGCTACTAGCAGAGACTTGAAATAGAAGTGACATAAACAGGGTTTCATCATCTCTGCTGCCACATGAGGCTCCGAAGCATCTTGTCTGGGACTGCACTGCAGCTCCACGACGTCACCTGTGCACCAGTGACCCTGTCATGTGGCTCTGTTATTCTCAGCGCTGGCTTCCATGTTCAAGGTCACCTGATGTTTGAGAAGCCAGCCGCAGCCTCAGTCACCATGGCTGCCTCTGGAAAAGGGGGAGCAGAAAAGGTCCCTACCAACACCCATTGCTCGAGAGTGTCCTTAAAGCCTGTCTGCTGATTTCAGGTTCCGTCTCACTGGCCATCACCACTGCAAGAGGAGCAGGGCCTTGTAGTGGGTTTTGCTTTCTTTCATTTTCAGGTGAGCACACTGCTGACCCTGACAATATCAGGGTCCTTTTACCAAGAAGGGAAGGGGTAAGGGATACCGGGCAGACTGCTAGTGGTTTCTGTCACAGAAATTCACATCTTGAAGATTCTGATGAAAATCCAGATACAGTGGCATACACTATGTGTTCCAACCCACTTGTCAAACCAGCCCTGCTTCTCCTGGGGACTAGTTAGAAATGCAGAGCTCAAGGCCCCTTGCCAAGCCCGTGGCAAGACCCCAAATGAGACTGGCACACCCAGGTTTCACACACTCAGTCCGCTGTGCTTTGTTGCTTCTCATCCACTGGGACTTTTCTTTAGGAAAGGTGACTTCTGCTGAAATCCAAGGGCTCATTGTGGTCCACTACTTGGTAGCACATGCGTTTTTAGTGAGCGTTTAACTCACAGTAGTTGTTTCCTTCCACACTGGACACCTGCTGTAGTGCTGGGCACTAAATGCCTATGTGCCAGTTAGGCATCCTTCTGACTATATATCAACTGTTATTAATCACTGCTTGCTCAAAACTTAATGTGGCTTGTTCAACTTAAATAAAGCCCTTGCTTCTTCTCACTTAAGGTGTGTTAAATTGTAACAGCTTTGGGACTTACAGAGACTTTCCAGGTAGTTGCTCCAGCCTCCTCCCGTCAGCTCTGCTTATCCACCCTGTGTCACTGTCCTGAAAAGATGGGATTCTGTTTTTCTCCTGACATTCTTAGTCATTCTTTTCTCATTCAACCTCTTTCTTTTTCTTTTTTGGAGTGTTTTTGTTGTTTGTTTTTGAGACAAATTCTGACTCTGTTACCCAGACCGGAGTGCAGTGTTATAGTCATAGCTCACTGCAGCCCCGGGCTCCTGGGCTTAAGTAGTCCTCCTGCCTCAGCCTCCTGATTAGCCAGGACTACTGGCATGTGCCACCATGCCTAGTCAGTTTTTGATCTTTTGTAGAGACGAGTCTCACTGCATTGCCCATGAATCTTTCTTTTTAAAAGAAAAGAGCTGTAGAAATCAGGCAGCCTAGGACCCAGCCTGGCCACTCATGTGTCATGTGGGCAGAACTGCTAACTTTCTGAGCCTCAGTTTCTTCTTTTCCACTGTGGCTGTGACACATGGTCTCAGAGCCCTTCCAGCTCTGTCCTCCGTAGACCCTCTAACTCTATTACTTGGGTTTTCAAGCTCCCAAAACACTTTGACGACACTGGGCTTGGTGTGAAACCTTCTTGGCTTATTTCTCCAGTCAGTAAAAGGATCCCAACAGTTTTTGCCTAGTTTCTCTTTTCAAATGCTGACTGCCTTAATACTTCACTTTAGTGGCCTCAATCCTTATTAGAACAAGTAAATGAATGAACAGATGAATGAGTGAAGCCTTCCATCCATCTCAGTATAACCTTATTTCGTAGAGAGGCTGCATCCTCTTTGCCTTTGAACATTATTAAATATTTTTCTCACCTCAGATTAACTTGGCTGTTTTGTTTTATTATAATAAACTCCAAGCCATGTGCATATTTATACCCTGAGCTGTTCACTGACTTCCATAGCATGAGAGGAGGCAAAGGAAGAGCCCAAGAGAAGCATGGAAGCCACCCCTGGGCCTGTCACCATGGAAGCCAGGTCCATGCTGTCTCCTATGGCAAGAACAACCTTTGGGGCCTCTTTATTTTCCCAAAACCCCTGCCCCCTGTTGGAATCATGTCAAGCAGGCATGGGGTTGTCTTCTTACAAAGTGAAGCCCAAGAAAGAGCCTGATGTGGAATAGGATTATGGCTGCCCTGTGCAGCCTTAAAAGCCACCCAGTCCTGTTCTCCATGCTGTATGTGAAGTGTGTGTCTTTGATTTGCTTTTCAGGGCCGCCTTTGGCAAGGAGTCTGAAGTTCTTATTGGGAACCTGGGTGATAAGTTAATCCCTCCACAAGACATCCTTCGCGACGTCAGTGACCTCAAGGCCCTGGCAAACATGCATGAAAGCTTGGAATGGCTTGCAGGCCGAACAAAGTCTGCCTTCTCCCATCTCTCCTCATCCCAGAGTAAGTATCTAGCGGGGGGCTGTAGTGGGCGGTCAAGCAACAGACTGGGCACTTCCACCTGGAATGTCAGTGTGCACACCTGTCACCCCGTGGGGCGGTGGCCCAGTTGTGAGAACATGTGTGTGAGAATTCTGCATGTGATGGGCCACTCCTGCTTTGTGATTTGAGAAAAGTGACCAGCCTTGTCTGGAGTGTGCGAAGCCAGGAAAGCCCGTGTTAGCGTGGCTTGACATTAAACCTGAGAAGCTTGAACTCATCTAAGATTGAACCACTGTGTCTCAAAGAGCGAAAGCAACACCTTTTGTCTCCTATGACAATTTCTCAAGGGCAAACTGTCTTAGAGCTCAGGGCTGCATGCACAGCTGATGTTCTTATTTCAGCTTGATATAAAGCTAATCTTTTTATTAGTCACAGAAGTGATTAAGGTGCTAGAAAATACAGATAGTGAGGACAACAGTCATTCTGGAAAATAGATGGCTGAGAAGTGACAATTATAGATTTCAAGGAAATTAAGGAACAGGATGTGAAATAAGGGGAACCTTTTTCTGTCAAGGACCAATGACTCAGAGAGAAATAATTTGAAAAGTTTAGGGCACATAAACTTTAATAACTTCAAAATAAATAATTTTTAAAGCAGTCCTTCAGGAATATGGATTGCACAGTTAAAATAGAAGCAAATAAAAATATGCAAAGAGGGACTAAGGAAAGATAGATGTATGAATGGAGTGGTGGAAATAGGATAGAAGAGGCAAAAACAGCAGGAAGGAGAGGGAGGCACCGTCAACTCTGGATTAGGGTCAACTGTTAGATGAGTGTTAGGACTCAGTGAGCTGTTTGCCATCACTGCCTTTGAGGCGGTGTCATTACTTAATGAACCATGTTTCCAGCCTAGAAAAGATGCAAATGAAATTCATGGGGGTAAATTATTCACTTGTTCTCCTGCAGGCCCCACAGCAAGCATCTAAGGAATCCCTTGACCACTCACTACGCACATGTGCTTGTGCTGATTACACACCTATTGAGGGGGGACAAGGGACCCCAGGAGTGGCTTCTGAGGGAGATCACGTCATCTACTTTAGAAGTCTTCCTAAAATGTCACCATTTATGCTTTTAAAAAAAAATACTACTTTTTATTTTTTTGAGATGGAGTCTCACCATTTCACACAGGCTGGTCTTAAACTCCCAGGCTCAAGTGACCCTTCCACCTCAGCCTCTCAAAGTGCTGGGATTACATGAGCCACAGCACCAGCTCTAAAATACTACTTTTTATCTGATGACAAAATTATCCATGTTTATTCTCAGAACTCTATAAGAATAGAGACTGTGTCTACCAATTAAGGATAACTTGGGCACAGCATTGCATCTGAGCAGATTCTTCACACGTCAGTATCCTTGAAGGCCCCTGAAACTTCCTAGCCCTGTAATATCAGGCACTTATATTACAAGCAATAGTTTCAGTTAACCATTTTAACTCCCAGCCCCACGCCCCTCCCTCCTCCCCTCAAAATGTCAAAAAGATCCTGCTTTTTCTTTGCTGACTGCAACATGCGCGGCTCTGGGAAGGGGCCAGAAGGCTCTCTTCCTGGTTTCCTTTGACTCCTGCAAGTGCAGGGCTGTGTGGCAGGTCTGCTAGTGAGGCTTGGAAGGGGCCTCTTCATTTAGTATGCCACTGGTGTCTCATACTTACTAATACATACAGTCTCCTACTGCTAATGGCACAGCATTCCAGGCTTCTATTCTGTCTGCTCTAAAAGGACCCCACAAAGCAAGGTAGTGCATCACCTGTGCAGCAAGACCTGGGTGAGTCACGCAGGTCTACCTGGCACCAACAGTTTTCAAAAGGAGACTACTAACTCTGTAATTGCACAATTTAGCTGTTGTCTTCATATCACCAGGACAACTGGGTGTAGTTGATGTCTAATTCCTGTCTTTAATCATCTCTGCTATTCTGACAAACATCTCTTCTGCCACGCCCGTGAACACTTTGTCTCATGTGCGCAGTTCCATTTATAATATAAGTTGTGCCCTCCAAGTTCCTTTCAGGGTAACTATTCTACCCAGTGGGTGATTTAAGTGACTGTCAGCATTTTGACGATGAGTGCAATACCCAAGTGAACTGTCATCACTGCTTGGGGTGTCTTTGCTGGTTCATCCTGCCAACCCCAAGCCTGGCTCACCCCCACTTGTCTGCCCCTTGCATTCCCAGGAGAGAGGCCCACTAGTGTTTATAATTTGAACAGAACAGGAGATTCTAGATCAAAGCTTACTTCGACTGCTCCATCAATGTGATGTTAGAAAGAGAATAAGGGGCAACTCTTTACTACTGTGAAAAGTTAACCAAAAGATGGCCACAACAAACGTCTTTCTGGGTCTTGAGACTGGACAGAATGAAGAAGATTCTAGTCAGGAAAGGAAGAAATCAAGTTAAGATTAATTTTCATCTATTCCTTACTCTTCATCCTGTTAATGATTTGGCATGGTAAATGCCCTGTGTTATTAAACTTAGGAAGCCTTTGATGTGACGGGTGGAAGGAATCTGCAGAAGGTTATTTGTATAGTAGAGCACCTCAGGTAGGACAACAGGATACTCGTCCGCCGAGCACATCTCATATTGTCCCGAAGAAAGTGCTGTGTGTTAGTGGCAGGGCACAGTGGGTCGTACATTGTTCAGATGAGAGTTGATGATTTTATCGGACGTAACTTTTCTACCTCTTTTGGAATTTACCCAGATGCCACTCCATCTGGCTTCTTCACATGTGAAGGGCCTCCTCGCCTCACTGGCTGCTGGCCATGTCAGAGGCACTGCTCTTATTGTTGTCCTCCCTCATTCAGTCCAAGGTCCCTGCTCCATCTCTTCTGGCATCCCCAGTCAGTCTTTCCCGCACCTGCTCCACGTAAGATTCTGTCAGTTGAAAGTCACAGACTTACTGAAAGCAAAAGAATGCATTGACCTGTAAAACTGATTAATCAAAGGGCTTCAGGAATGGCTGGATCTAGAGGCCACAGACATACCGAGTGCATGCACACGCGCGCACACGCACACACACACACACACACACACACACACACACACACACACACAGTCTCGGCATCTCACTCCTTCCTCTAGAAGCCTCTTCTTTCAGGACCTGCTGTGACAGACATGCTTCAGTGCAAGGAGGGTGAGCAGCTTCATGTTTAGCACTGGGCATTCAAGACCCAGGTTTACTATATCCTCTGCCATTGACCACAATTCCAACCTTGCAGTAAAGGCACAAAATAATGCCTGGTCTTTTTAATAGCTGCTCTCGGTTAGAATCCTCAACAAAGACTTTGAAATTGTTATGGTTAAGAAAACTCTCCGAACAAATTATGAACTACATAAAAACTGTTAAGCACGCCTGGATAGTCCCATTTTAACATTAATGGCTTTCTTTTGTGCCTTACCCTTTTGTTCTAAGGATGGATTGTTTCTAAAATTGACTACACAACACTGGAAAGAACTTCAGGGCTTGGCTTGTCCGCCTTACTTCCTCAGGGAAGCCCTCCTCCCTGTCTTAGGCTCTTTAAATCTCTAGGACTCAAGATTCTGCAACTCCTGGGTCATATATTCTGCTGCTCACACCAGGTTGTTCGCTTATTAAAGCCCCCATGCTTCAGTCTAAACCTCTTTCTTCTTTGTACTTTCTTCAGAATTTAAGTGATGTCTGTTTCCTCTGTGAAATACTTTAATGTATCTGAAAATGTTTCCCTGTCCTGTACCTTCCCGTCTCTGGCCTGAAGGTTCCAGTCTCCGAATCAACTCTTGTCGGGTTAGGGGCCTGCTCAGGCCCACGCTCCCTCTCTCTGGGACAGTACTGGGGCTGTGACTTTTGTGAGTGTGGGCTTAGCGTGGGGTTTTTTGACCTCAGTGTATCCGCCCCACGATCTCTTAGTTCTTGTTGCTGAGTTCTTGCTGATCCCACTCACATGAATAATAAAAGGTAAGAAAAAAGCACTCCCTGGTCTCTTTCCATCAGAGCAGGCACAGAGAATAGACATTCCTTTAAAATAAGGGCAGATGAATCTCACAGTCCTGGGTCCTGGAACTGGTCTGGGAGTTGCAGTATTAGTTGTACAGTTATTTATAGACTTCTTCCTTAAAGTAGAAGCCTTGCTAAGGATCTCGGAATTTTGCACATGAGGAAATTAAGGCCCAGAGTGGTCACACTATGTGTCTTTGCCAAACTGGAACACAGAACATGTCTTCAAATTGCATTTAATGATCTGTCTACTACATCGGTTAAAGCCACTAGCTGAATCTTTTGTACCATATTCTTATTAAGCCATTCTAGGAGGGTGGCCATATTTTAATGGAAGTACTTTGTTGCTTACGCTTAACTTGTGATCATTTCTGATCATTTTCTTGTGCCTAAGCAGAATTTCCACACCTTAAATAGGGATCACTGTACATATTCCTTTTGAATTTCATCTTAGTTGTAGTAAAACGTCTCTCTAATTTGTCACTCTATTTTTGTTCCACAAGTATTTTCTAAGTTAGAAACTCCATCTGTCTTATCATTCTATGTAATGTGTTCTAGATGTTGCATTGTGCTGCGCAGTAGCCACTGACCTTGTGTGGCTATTTGAATTTAAATTAATTAAAATTAACAGTTTAGTTCCTCTGTCACACTAGCCATATCTCAAGTGCTCAGTGGCTGTTTCTGAATAGCACAGGTATAGAGCATTGCCATCATCACAGAAAGTTCTGTTGGGCAGTGCTGTTTATCATTACCTAGGTCAGTGATAAAGGTTTGAAATAATGTCAGTCCATATACTTTGGCTTTGAAGTACACTTGAAATGTCTACCTAGTTATATGAAAACATGGGTAACTACTTTAATTGTCCAGCCTCCAAATCATGTGTACCCCCTGACAGAAGATGGAGGTTTTAGGACCAGCATGATCAAGATTTTTCCTATTGATATTAATTGATGCTAAAGGACTTGAAGGGATTTGTGATCAAATAAGCTTTGGAAGCAT